GATCACTGCAGTAAAGCTGCATCCTCTTTCATCTGCTTGCTTTTTTCCCCCTTGTGAGTTGGTGAAGGACCTGGAAACGTATATGCTTTGGGGCAGGAGGAACTGTTTTTTTATGTTTAAAAAGCAAACAACAATAAATAATTTGATCTACAATGCTGGTGCTGTCCGTTACGCTGGCCTTCAGCTTCATGTGGCCTCACAGTACTCCAGTTACTGCTTCTGTAAGAGATCATAATAGCATAACATTTCTGACAGGCAAAATGCAGTGCAGTTGCCCATAGAGAAATGTAGTTCTCTTGCTGCTGAACTGCACGCGTGAGGTTACTTATTTCTCTTCTGTCTCCTTGATCAGTCCTTTAGAATCAAGAAGAACATGCTACAGAGCAACCTTCTTTCTCTAATGCTGCTATGAAATGATGAAGAACAGAATTGGAGTCGTTCCTGAGATGCCTGACAAAGAAATACATTACATGCTTGTAGTAACTCCTCTGAGTGACTGACTGACTTGAACTCTGCACCCTGAATTGGACTTCTGTGGTGGTGACAATTTACACATGTACCTCTGTGGCACCTGTGTTCTCCAAGGCTGGAGAAGTGTTAATGTGGTATCACTCTGGGGCAGCAGAGTCTGTGTGGCAAACAGGCTGAGCCAGGTGGCTGCACATTTAGATAATTCCAACACGTTGAGCTGCTGGAAGTGACATTTCAGACTTATTTATTAAATGTTACAGGTCCAGTTCTGCCTTTGAATTTGCCTGTTTCTTTTGCTGTACTGTGTTGCTTTTGGGTGTCATTCTAGCCCAGCCCCTCTGGCCCAGTTTATCATTTATGAGGCCAAGTCCTAAAAGTCAGTTTGTGGATGTTTAGGGTAGTCCTGAGCAGACCTTGCCTTCTCAAGGACACGTTCTACGTAAGGAGAGTTGAAATGTATCTGTTGATTCAGTTGATCTATGAAGAACATTTTTGTGCTTCTCTCTCTCTCTCTCTCTTTTTTTTTTTTGGAAAGATAGGCTACCTCAAGCATCCTTATGTTTACTGTGGAGCAGTGAACAAGCAGGAGCTCACTTGCGTGTCTGTAGCAGGCAGCCTGCAGTGTGAATAGGACAGACAGCACACTCAGAGGGTTGGATGTTGTGCAGGCCTGCTCAAAACATAAAATCTTCATTCTTTTTCTTTTCCTTCCTCCTCCCCCCGGGAGAGAAAGTGTTAATATTTTTTGTGCAGCTGTTGAGTCTGGAAGTCTGGAGGTCTTACACAGGTGAGTTGTTCAATAGGTAAGGCACTACTAGATTGCACTAGCTTGCCCCTGTTTGAAGAAGATAGGAGTGAAGAAATCTTACTTCTAGGAAAGACCTTCAAAACTACCTTGTGAACAAAGCTCTGTACTTAATTTGCTAACAAGTTAGTGTAGACTACTGTGTGTCTTATGTGTCTATGTGTATCCACAAATTAACCCTCAAAGCATTGGTCACTGAAACTAGCTCTTTAAATGCAGGGGAGAGAGGAAATGAAATGGGAAGCCTCCCATCTGCAATTAAGAGAAATAGACTAAGCACAAACCAGATAGTTGCTTCAGGGCTGGAACAGTTTGATTCTGGCACTTTTAAAGGCCCGTCTTATTAGAAAAGCACTGTGGAGAAAGTGTTCCTTTAAAACAATCATACAAATTTCTCCTACAAATCCCACCCTAAATCTGCTTCACATTATCTAGCATCTCTTCAGGGATTTGAGACCTTTTTTTTTTCTTACAACACAGGCTGCCTGTTGGAGACAAGAGCATTGTTTCACCAGAGTTGTAATCTTCTATCTTCACGCAAGAGGGAAAAACATTGTTTTGCATCTCTGATATGATCCAGCCCGAAAACAGCTCTAGGGAAAAAAAAAATCATGGTCCTTAGCAGCAGGGCTGTCTTTCTTTTTTTTTTTTTTTTTGTCAGTGCCACAATGTATGCTGCTCTAATAACTTGAGCTTAAAGTCCCACGGAATGTCTCGAAAGTCCTTCTTAAGACTTGAGGTCGTAACTTGCTGAAAGTTCAGAGGGACGTGTCTCATTTTCATCGTGAAAAAAAGAATTCCAGGGTTATTTTGGAATTAGGTCTAGTATGAAACTGGTACAAGAGACTACTTTAGTACAGTAATTTAGTGACAGTGCAGCAGGTTTGTGGCAGCTACTGAAAACTTCAGACCTTTCTGTTCAAGTAAGCTGAAACCTGTAAATTTCAGATGTTGATTACAAAGGTGATAGTTCAAGCCTCTGTAGACTGCTTGTTTAAAATAAATAATTTGGCTGTACCTTCCAGTGGGAAATACTCAATAAACTTCACGTATTGTTTATTTTAGCTAGAATGAGCCTGTAGTAGTTTGGCATGTATCCCAACTGAGAAATATCACAATTTATTCAAGGGCAGCTGCATCTTCTACTTACGCTCTTTCCAGGGGGATTGAATGTGCTTGTGTAATGGTCTTATGAGCTGGGTACCTCTTCTATCATGTAGACATAGTTTCATTGGGTATTGTCATGATTCATACATGTGTAGTATAACTTTGCAGGGTTGTTGATTAACCCACAGGGAAAATACTGAGAAGTGAACTGGAGTTCAAGTCCAACATTTTTCAGTAACAGAATGGCAGTAGAACGTTATCCCATACAGTAGAAGAGGGATAATATAGATTCTTGCTGTTTTTTTAGCTTGCCCATTATTCCGACTCTGTATAGTTTTTCTTATTCTCCAGGGTGTTTCTTCCACTTCCCTTAAAATATTTGTATTTTTGGTGCAAGCATTATATAGCTTGCAAACTTGAAAACTTAGGGAAATATTGTAAAAGAAACAACAGTATGAAAGTGTTGCTCAGAAATGCTTAAAACTAAGAATACTATGCATAACTCTGGCATATAGTGTGATGGCACCCTATGATCTGAAGTATTTAGAATTTTTTGTTTTGGATTAAACTAAACCATTTAACTTGTGCTGCATTTGTGAGTGGGGTTAAACATGAATTCTTCTATGGAAGGACTTCAAATGCATCTGTGGCTTGAGGCTTATGAACATTAGAAATTTAGCACAGTACTGTAATCAGTCCATTTTGTGCCACGTCTCCGTAGTCTTTCATTATTGACTATAGCTCCCGCAGAATGAATACGTGTATTCTCATGTGGGTTTGTGGTGGTAGGGAACCCTTATTATCTTGTTCTGAATGTGAACTACTCTTGAAAAACAGCCAGCTTGTACAAATAACATGATTGTGATTTTCTCCTTAAGGCTGAAGTTTCTTGTAAGCCTTTTTTAAAATACATCTGCCTTAATGAGAAGCATATATTCTTACGTCAGCACCTCTGCTGCCTTCAGTAAGGCAGGGATATGCGTGCATTTTCAACCTTAATTACAGCTTATTATGGTCTGTTTGAGAACTTTTGATGTTTTAATTTTTTTAAAGAAAAATGAGTTTGCTACAAGGGTGCTGAAGGGGAAACCACCCAAATGCTGGTATGTTATCCGTGAGTTTGTGTTAATCAGAGGTGAATTAATAGGAAAACGTGTGCTTTCAGAGTGGTACCCAAAGTGCTTTTGCAAAGGAAGTAGAAGAGGGAGTGCCTAAAACTGCTGTTTGTAGGCCTCCTAAGGCTGATAGACCTTATGTGCAGAACAGCAATCAGTGATTTGTGTGCTTGCCTTTATTAGTGGATGGGAAAGAGAAATGGTGTCAGTTCCTGTTCTTTCCTTCTCTGTGATAAGTTTGAATTCCAAGGTTGTGCTTGTTTATTATTGGGAGCAGAAAAACTTTGTGTCCAGTCCTCCCATAAGCCATTAAATGATTTTGGAAGGTAAATGATACTTTCTAAGGCAGAATCAGGAGAAAGGAGCATCTTGTCTCCATAACAGAGATAGGAATCATTGTGCAACTCTTTAATGCCCCCTTTCTTCCCCACCTTTTCAGTTATCTTGACAGCGTATCTTTTTATTATCCTCTTGCCTCCACTTTGAGCAAGGAGTGTTTAAATGAATTCCCTTGTTCACTGATGTGCTTTAGTAGAACAGGGTATGATCTGGGGGTTCAGGAATAGAACAGCAGGACATACTTTATCTTCAAACCTGCCTCTGGTTTTAATGTGATCCTTTTCGTGCTTGAGTACAGATGGGTGGTACTGGGAACTGGAAGCTACCAAAAACCATCCAGTTTTTCATCGTGGTACCTGGAGTGCTCCCAGAGAATGCTGAAGCCACGTGGGTGCAGACATCAAAAAGCATGTGGAAGATAAAGATACCCTAAAGCTGGATGTGAGGCATAGTTTTGCTTTTGCCATCTGGATGAGCGGGACTTTTTCTTCACTCAGAGGATGTGTGATATGTATGAAGAGCTTCCAGAGAGAAGTGTAGCCCTATTATAATCTGTACCTTAGGCAGGTGCAAACTTGCTTAAAACCTGTGGAATAACTTTGATTCTCCAGGTGATGATCAATGTATGTTGTTTCTTGACAGCATTATGTCTTTGTAGTTCTAGTATCCAGCTTGCGTCTTGAGTGCATGCATAAGACATCAGGATCTATTAAGATTTGTAGGGTGCAGTGCTAGAGCAATACAGGAGATGACTAGCCAGGTTAAAGTTCCTTTGTGTTTTTTCTTTTTTCCTAAGATTGTCTGAAAGAGGAAGGCCTTTTTAGTGGCTTGAGAAATAGAATTGAGAGACTGTAAAGTAAAGATTAATGAAAATGTTTCTTGCCTTGTTTGGGGGAACTTGGGTGACTTAATAGTCTGGAATTGCTGTGTATCTTAAGGTGCTTGTTAAAGTTGACTTATAAAAGGCATAACTACTTAGTTTTACAAGTATTGAATTTGTGTGTATTATGGATTGCTTAAATACAGCATGGATTGCAGGAAATGTAAAGGGGGAAAATCTGTGGTGTTGAGTCATTGTTTTACTAGACTTCAAATTTTTTCTCATTACTTCATGAAATTCTCCTCTAATTCAATCTTTGTCTTTTGTCTTTGCTGCCTTGCAGGGTTGGTACAGTAGGCCTCACTAAACTTAGCTGCAACTAAGAATTTCTCCTACATCAACTGAGTTAAGGCTGATGCTCTTGTGGAATGTGGATTAAAAGTGCGTGCTAAGTTCCAAATTTCCATTTGAGAAGCGGAGAAACTAAATGTACCACAACCACCAGCATCAGGACAGCAAACCAAGGGACAAAGAATTTGATCCGCAGTGTTGATACATGTTAACTGGTTCACGTGTTGCTTAAGAGACGTTTGCTGGGGGGCGAGAAGTGGACGTCAGCTGTGCGAAGTCATTTTGTTTACAAAAATGAGGGCTTCTTTGGAAACAGCAGACATTGCCATTGTGGCGCTGTACTTCGTGCTTGTAATGTGCATAGGTTTTTTTGCCATGTGGAAATACAATCGAAGCACCGTAAGTGGCTACTTCTTGGCAGGGCGTTCTATGACCTGGGTAGCGATTGGTGCATCTTTATTTGTGAGCAATATTGGAAGTGAACATTTCATTGGGCTCGCAGGATCTGGAGCGGCAAGTGGATTTGCAGTAGGTGCATGGGAATTCAACGCCTTAATGCTTTTGCAGCTTTTAGGATGGGTCTTTGTCCCTGTCTACATCCGGTCAGGAGTGTACACCATGCCGGAATACTTGTCCAAGCGTTTTGGAGGGCATAGAATCCAAATCTATTTTGCAGCATTGTCTCTAATTCTTTATATCTTCACCAAACTTTCAGTTGACTTGTATTCAGGGGCGCTTTTTATTCAAGAATCGCTAGGTTGGAATCTCTATTTGTCAGTAATCCTCCTTATTGGAATGACTGCACTGTTGACTGTGACCGGAGGTCTTGTGGCTGTCATCTACACAGACACCCTTCAAGCTCTGCTTATGATTATTGGTGCCCTCACACTTATGATCATAAGTATTATGGAGGTTGGTGGGTTTGAAGAAGTTAAAAGAAGGTACATGTTAGCATCACCAAATATTACGTCTATCTTGTTAACCTACAACATTTCCAATACCAATTCCTGCAATGTGGACCCAAAGCCCGACGCTCTTAAAATGTTGCGTGAGCCAACAGATGAAGATATTCCCTGGCCTGGATTTCTGCTGGGACAGACTCCAGCATCTGTCTGGTACTGGTGTGCTGATCAAGTCATAGTGCAGAGAGTTTTAGCTGCAAAAAACATTGCTCATGCCAAAGGATCCACTCTGATGGCAGGCTTCTTAAAGTTACTGCCAATGTTTATTATAGTTGTCCCGGGGATGATTTCACGAATACTGTTTGCAGATGATATCGCCTGCATTAATCCAGAACACTGTTTTCAAGTCTGCGGGAGCAGAGCCGGATGCTCTAACATTGCCTATCCACGTTTGGTGATGAAACTTGTGCCGGTTGGTCTTCGGGGACTGATGATGGCTGTGATGATTGCTGCACTGATGAGTGACCTGGACTCTATATTCAACAGTGCCAGCACCATATTCACGCTTGATGTCTACAAACTCATTCGGAAGAGTGCAACGTCTAGAGAACTGATGATTGTAGGAAGAGTCTTTGTGGCATTCATGGTAGTTATAAGCATTGCCTGGGTCCCCATAATTGTTGAAATGCAAGGTGGTCAGATGTACCTTTATATTCAAGAGGTAGCAGACTATCTGACCCCACCGGTGGCTGCTCTGTTTCTTATGGGTATATTTTGGAAGCGTTGCAATGAACAGGGAGCGTTCTATGGCGGAATGGCTGGGTTTGTCCTTGGAGCGATACGGTTGATACTGGCATTTATCTATCGTGCTCCGGAGTGTAACCAACCAGATACTAGGCCAAGCTTTATCAAAAACATCCATTACATGTATGTTGCTACAGCTCTGTTCTGGATCACTGGAATTGTGACCTTTATAGTGAGCCTTCTTACGCCTCCGCCTACAAAGGAACAGGTTCGAACAACCACTTTCTGGGCTGTGAGAAACAGGAATGTAAAAGAGAATACTGCAAAGGGGGAGCGGTACAAAATACAAGAAAAGAACATCTTGAGGTGTAATGAAAATACTAACCATATCATTCCAAATGGCAAATCTGAAGAAAACATTAAAAATATTAAGCCTGAGGATATCAATCTTCTGGTTACTTGCAGAGATGACAGCAACCCGGTGATTTCTGTAAGTCACTCTGAAGTCGAGACACCAGTTGATTGCTATTCGAATGGACAAGTGGCTTTGATGGGTGAGAAAAAGCACGAGGAAGAAACTGATGATAGAGAGAGACATTTGAAATTCATAGATTGGTTCTGTGGCTTTAAAAGTAAAAACATGAACAAGAGAGCTGTTCGGGAGATGGAGGAAGAGACTGTTTGTTTACAAATGCTGGAAGAGACTCCAAAAGTTAAACTATTACTAAATACTGGACTGGTCTGTGTCTGTTCGCTTGGAATATTCATGTTTGTCTATTTCTCTTTGTGAGTGAATAGTGAACTTTTAAGGGTATGGCTAAACATACAGAAGTTGATACAGGTCTCTGGAGATTTTTTTATTTTTATTTTTTCCAAGTAACATAACTGCAACCCAGGCATTGTTTACGCTATAACTGTAAAATCAACTCAACTTTAGCCTATTTAGAGACCATTTGAGACATGCTGTCCTATCTGCTGAAAGCAGGATGTGTTGTGTGGTGTCTCTCTCCCTCTTTCTTCCCTCCTCTCCCCTCATTTGCAGTACTAATCTTTTCTTTTTTTTCCATGTACACGTGTGTAAATATACCAAAGGCAGGCAGGTGGCTGTGTTTGAAGTCAGGCAGTTCTAGAGTTCAGTCAACATTAAGATGAAGATAACAAGTAATCGTTTACCTTTGTGTAAAATCTAAAATGATTAAAGCTATGTCGAAAGATTTTGAATGCAAAGTTGTGATGCACATCATTGTATCATTGTTCTTTGTAATGTAGCTGTGTTATCTTGGCCAACATAATACTTATGAATCTTACTCGTCACTTCCAGTGTTTTCAGCTTCTCAGTTCTCTTATGGCAACAACAGAATGATATTTTTCCTGTAGTAATTTAAAATGTGATACCTGTTAGTAGCTTTCTGTCGTTCTTCCCTGGAAGGAAATGTTTATCTTTTGATCTTTATCCTTTGTAAATTGCAGTACTGAAAAGCTGTTGTATTTAAATCAAAGAAACCCTGGAGATGACGAACTGGCAATGGAAGAGAGAGAAAAAGGGGGGTGAAAAAGGGTTCTCTTCATTGTGATTTTATAGTATATCGAAGTGGAAGAATATACATTCAATGCTGACAGTCCACAAAACTGTAGCCTTATGTTGTCATTGACATAATTAGGGTTTACCTCTTTTTAGAGAAAAATCTATACATAGGCTCTGCCACATGGGAGAAAGAGAAATGTTAGACTTCACATGTCTTAAATTTAAAATTAAAATATAAGTCTTTTTTTCCTCCATGATGGGGAAAAAGGGAATGCTCCACAGCCTTATCGCTGCTGTATGTTGAGTCTGGAAGGGGAGAAAACAAAGGAGAGGGGAAGGGGAGGTGAGGGAGAGAGGTGCAAAGTCCCTGTTTTCCAGAGTCACATCCAGGCTGCCTTTGGAACTAACTCCTGCAGCAGTCTTTGCTCCAGAGCTCGTCTGGGAAATTCGAGAGAGCCCAAGTGGCCTGGCTGAAACAGTGTGAGGGGCTGTGCCGACAATGCCCGATGTGTTTTAAGGGACCAAAAATGTTTCCTATGCACAGTCAAATTTCTTGATAAACTTGAGAACAGATAGTTCCGTAGAGATGAAATTTGGGTTAATCTTGCCATTGGGCGGTTGGACTCGGTGATCTCTGGAGGTCCCTTCCAACCCCTACAAGTCTGTGATTCTATAATTCTGTGACTGTTGGAGACAGTCAGTGTCTCCAGTTGTTTTCCAGTACAGTGGGTCCTGTAAGCTGCAGGCTGCTTAAGTAGCTTTTAGCAATATGATATATGATGTGTATTTTCAAGCAAACCAATTAATGTTGGGTTTTGTGGAGGATTTTTTTGTTTGTTTTGAAATCAGTTGATTCCCATTAGCTCTGAGACTTTAGTTAGAGGGTGAGATGTCTCACCTTTCTCCACTTCATTTAGTTGTTGCCACTGTGAAGTAGGATACTCTAACTGGAAATACGGTAGTGTTGGAACCCTGTTGGAGTATATCTAAGAGAGGAGAGTTACCATACCTGAGTCTTGGTGTAAATACACATTTTCTTGCAGTTTGTGGCTCACTTCACTCAGAAAAAAATATTTTAATTCCTCCTTAATGGTAAAATTCTAGTATATGAAGTATACTAGAATTAAAGGAATCTCAAGTTAATAATGGGGTGAGTTGGGAATAATGATATTATATGTAAAAGACATAAAACATCATCAAATGTTTCCATGCAGGATAAAATAATCTAGGACAGAACTTGCCTGATGTTACTGGAGTGAAAAATGACTCGTAGGATGAGAATAAGCCTCAGACTATCAGTATTTTCTTGAAAAGCCTAGGTTCTAGTGTGCCAGATTTGGCACAGGCAAAGAGACTTACGTGCTGGGCACTGTCCTTTACTAACTTGGCTTGTCTTTCTATCAGCAGCTGGTACTTGGGTTTTCCAGAGCAGTCTTTTTGGCTCTAATACTAACAAATGCATTACCACCTAACCTGTGCAGTTAGGTTAGCTCAGGGACCCTTCTGCTTGGCTGCCCTTGCTTTGTCCTTGCTTACTTTTTTTCCAGGGTGCCTTATGTAGTTATGAAGCTGAAGGCATGGCTTTTAGTGCCACCTAAATAGCAATTTGCTTATAATGTGTTTTCCCAGGTTGTTTTTCCCTCCTCTTTCCCCAAGTCATTTGCTGTTTAAACAGAACGGAGTTCTATCTCTGTTCTGTTTAAATAGTCTGTACATGGGATGCGTGTATCAGTATAACTGCAGTCAGATCCATGGTCAAACTGATCCTTTGATCACCGTATGGAGTCAGAATTTTTCCCAAACGTGCAGTGCAGCCTTTGACTGTTGAATCTGAGATACTCAATATTCCAGTTAATACGTTCTTATTTTTGCTGCACTAACAAGTTGCCAAATCAATATAAGTGATAATTGACAGGCATTTAGAATCTTCATGAAGTAATACTCTCACTATTTAAACCATTCTTGTGAAGAAGCTTTTTAGCAAATTGTTTATTTGGTGGTTCTTTTTTCTCTTAAGTCATTTACAAACATTTCTATGGTACTCTCTGCCTGATGTCGGCCTCTTCAGTCGTGTTCTGTTTCCATGTCTTAGAGGTGTCATAGAGCTTGCCCGATATTCTTTGCTGCATGTAACCACTTAACAAAATCCTTTTATCTCCCCAAACTTTAAGGCTTCAACAACTGTTGGTGAGCAAACGCCTCACTCAGTCTAAGAGACTATAGTGTTAGAAGTTGCTCGAGGGTTTTTTTTTATAGCGTAAACATGCCTTTGCTAATTTTTTGGTCATGATCTACTTGCAATCCTGGTTAATATGTTTGGGTCCAAACACCAACTTTTTGGTCTAGTAGAACTGCAGTTTGTCCTGCAATGGACAACTGGTTCCATACATGTTAATGACTGGCCTCCTATCAGGTGGGACTGGCAAGCTCACAGGGGCAGAGCCAGGGGGATGCATGGCTTCCCTCTCTGCAGCAGGGGGATTATTTATTGCCTTGAACTTAGAATGACAGTCTTGAAGAAGTCGTTTTGGAGCTACACCTTTTTTGTTGTTGTTACCCTTAACTTATTTTTCTTTTAAGATATCTGAATCTTCTCCCAGAAATCTGTTAGAAGCCTTTTATTTAAAAAAAAGAAAAAAAAAAAAAGACAAGCTAAGAAGAAGGCGGCTTCTTGAGGGCTTAAGAGTGCATTCTGGGAGACTATTCTTATTTAATTTTTTTTTTTTAAATGAATGATTTGATGCTGTTCTCTGCCAAAGTTATTTTTTTTAATATTTTTTTTAATTATTACTTTTACCGTTGTTCTTTTTTTTGTTTGTTTTTCCTGTTAGCTTTTGCTAATACCTGAAAGGAAATGGCGAGAGTTTGTAAGAAACTAAAAATGGCCTTCAGTTATACCACTCGTGTATTTTTTACTTCTCTAAATCTGTGTTTCACCCTTATCCCAGAAGGACCAGCGTGAGACTTCTGATGCAAGTCATGAGAGTAGTGTAACTCAGTAGTGAAAAGGATTTCCCACAAGGTTACAAGGTGAATGGGCAGAGCCATCAGCGGATCTCTGCATGAACACTTAAAGCTAAAGCTGCTTACAACTTTAAAACGTACAGCTTTATTTTTTTTATATATATATTTTTTTAAATCCTGAGATAAAGGAGGTGATGGGAGATGCTCCCTTTTAGAGAACAGGATGCATGGGAGAGGTTGGAGCTGATGTGCTCTAACACTTTTGAGGAAATCTTTGGATTTAGCATGTATAGCAAAGCAAAAAAAAAAAAAAAAAAAGCTCACCTGTTAATTTGGTATTCTGTATGTTCTGTGCCCTTAAATGTAATTGTTTTGAAAATAAAACTAACCTTGTTACGTGATGTTAAAAAGCAAACTTGTGTGCAATGTTTTAAATTTTTTTTTTTTTTAAGAAAATGTTTGTATATAATTAAATGGTTTAATGTGCTTTAATTGGCCTAAGGTAAAGAGTAGTCCTAGAATGTAAACATATATAATTAGAATTTCTGATTTCACTGTGAGATCTCTGAACTCTCTTGTTTTGCGAAGTGGTTTGTTTTGTTTACAAAACACTTTCAATTATTTCTTTTATGGTGTTGGTTCAAAGGCATTTGCTTCACTTCTGTTCTAATATTGAATTCATGGTATAGTGACATCTGGTGACACTTAGCATTATCAGTTTCACTGTGTAAAGTCAGACACTTTGAGCAAAAATGGTAATGATATGACAATTCTCTGTGTCTATGAATACACGTTTTTAAATGAGGTGGTTATAAAAATAGTTGCTGTGCAAAATGTTAGTAGTCTTCTTCAAGAAGAAAGCAAATTTTCTAATATCACTAGAGCAGTCTCTTCATTCATCTTCTTATTTTTGAAGCACAGTGTCAAAGTGATGCTGCTTTACCTTGTATTTCTGATATAATGTTTTTTTTAGATATCTGTGAGGTATTTTTGGTTTTTTGTTGCTATTGTATTTTTCTGCAGATTTTATATAAAATACCAGTTAATGAACTGCCTTTTTTTTTTAACTATTCAACTAAAATACATTTCAGACCAAAACCAAATGATATGATCTATAGCATTTGAAATCTGCCTTTTTCCTTGTCCCTTGTTTTTTTTTTTTTCTTTCCTTTTGGTTTTCATTTGTTTGTTTGTTTTGAAATAAGCCAAATGGGCATGTAGATAAGATCGCTATAATGGATCCAGGTCTCTTTTGGTAAAGTGTTATTTAAAGGTCTGTTAAGATCTTATAAGACAATATACTGATAAAAATTATTGTAGTAGGAATATAGTTTTAGAAGTGTTAATGAGATTAATACAGCTTAATTATACTTGTAAGTTGCTACTGTCCATAATGACAAGCTTTTTGTCATAGAAACGATGTATGATAAATTAATTTTGGTCTAGTGTATAGAATTATCATATTGCTATAAATCTTTGAAGTAAATCTGATGCAAAATTTTCATAGTTAGCATTGCTGGCCCTGTGTATACTGTTCTTTGTATACTGTATGCATATTATTTCGCCTACTGCATTAGTCTTCAAACTAAAACTCTTATTAGAGAGTATTTGGATACTTCAGACTGTGTTTCTTGCAGTTTACATTCCTTTACCATGGCATTTTGTCCTGTCTAAAAGTATTGTATGGAAATGTTTAAAACTTCTGTACAAAGTTTCAATAAAAATAGAGGAAAAACAAGAATAGATATTTGTGAAGCTATTTTGGAGAATCTCTCATAATTATGTCTCATATATTCTTGCTTGTAATGAGCTTTATGTCCGCATATATAAAGAATATCTCCTATTTTGCACCTGTTAATAAAGGCAAACCTCATGAAGCAGGGCATGGGCATTTTCTTAACGGAGTTTAAAACAACAACAACAAACAAGAGAACAAAGCAGGACTTTCAAACTGCAAGAAGAACTTAAGGATCCAAACTGTAGTTGTAGAGTTTAGCTGTGGAACTGTGCTGAGGGAAGGTGGGCTTATGGGTGAGACCTGTGGGTGGTGTGGGCTGCTTCTTTTGCAACCTGAAGGTCAGGATGCCAGCCAGCAGCAGGGGAAGGCTAGCTGCCAGATGCACCCTTAGAACAGCTGCTTGCTTAAAACAGAATATGGGTGAGCCCATAGTTAGTGCAGGCTTGTCAGACACAGGGTAAAATTGTGCTTTTGTTTTCTTTTATATGCCAACTACTGCTTCATTAACCAGTTTGTGAATGAGACGGGCATCTTCTTACTTGGTTCTGGAGTATCCCTAAATACCTACAGTTGTGCTTTTTGCATCCCTCTGGGACCATCACAGCCTGTAAGCCTTGGTGTGCCTGCTGTTTATTTCCAGTTGCGGTCTAAAAATTGGTCCTAGTGCCTGAGTTCCACAAGGTGCCCCTGTTCGTAGGCATGTTCTGAGAATGATGAGTGTGATGCTGTCTTCTGTTTCATAGGAAGCTGTTAAGGCTTGGAGTAGTCAGTGCTAAGATCCTTGCCCATGGAGTGGGAAGGATACTTACTCAGGATGTTTACTTGAAAAAGATTAAAATATCAACAGTTCTAGAAGAGGGGGCCAAATGTGAGTCCTCCCCTTCCTTCTCTCCTTATCCCCCATAAGGATGTATTTGAGCTAATAGCTATGGAAAGTGTGGTGTTAGTCATGGTTTCTTTGTTGGCCAGTGAAGAAAGTGGGGCAGGTCTGTGGATTAGACAGCTATGGAACGGTGACAGTAGAGTAGGAGCAAACTATGGGAAGGACATGAAACAGATCTTCAGCTGTAGGAAAATTTTGCATTCATTAAATATTTTCTTGATATACTCTTGCTGCTGTGTTTCAGAAGCAAAGCGGAAGCTTGGCTGATGTTTAAAGAAATGGATCCAAAACATCTTTGGAGAAGAAAGCTTTGACTCAGGATACAAAATAAGCAAAGATTCTTGCCTGCAGATTTGGCATGGATTTGTGACTTACGGGAGGGAGAGAACTCATGCTTTTGTTAGCTGTTAATTAATTAGTTATCTAATTGGTCTATAGGGTGATTACCCAGTGAGCAGCTTTCCATTTCATTGATTTTAAAAGAAGATCAGGAAGTATTTTTGTCACCTACTGGTTCCATTTGTGTTAATTAGCAAAGACTCCCAGTACCCAATTTACTGAGACCTTCATGTTTCTCTGGGTGTGGATTCCTGGCCCAGGCAAGTTGTGGGCAGGCTCTGTAAATGCTGCAGCAGCATTTATTTTGAGGGTTCACTGGAAAAACTCAAGGAGAGGGTGGTAATAAGTACTCTGCCTACTGGCGCTAAAGTGAATTCTCCTTCCTTGGATGTGGTTGCCCTAGTTTGTACTGTGCCTATGTTGTGCCAGGAAAGTGAGCAAGCCAGAAAGTTTGAATTCTGTGCTTTTTTTTTTTTTTTTTTCCTCCCCTATCCATCTAGTAAGCACATTTAATCATTTAATCAGGTCGAACTTTGTGATTTGCTTTTTGGGGAGTATGTAGATGGATAGGAATACGGTGGTGATTTGACTTAATGACTGTGATGCTTATAACACTTGACCTAGCTAACTCGTTTTAATACTTATCTAGACCTTGAAACTAGTTTTGTAAATTAGTTTTGAATATCCATATGTATGTGTAAATATATATGTACAAGGGTTGCTATTAAAGTAGTGCCTCCTATGTTATTCTATTGGCCCATGACATTAGAGGTGGATGTTGGTGGTACAGCAGTAGAGGTTGAACCTTCCCGCCAATATCCCGTTTCATTTTGTTGTGGTATGACAGATGGCAGCAGAGGGGCAGTCTGAGACAGTGGCATCTGACATGGAAACGTGTATAAAGCAAAGGTGTGGAATTGAATTCATCCATGCAGAAAAAATGGCACCCACTGATGTTCATCAACACTTGCTGAACATTTCTGGAGACGGAACAGTGGATGTTAGCACTGTGAGGCTGTGGGTAGTTTATTTCAGCAGCAGCAACAGTGATATGAAAGATAAGCCATGTTCTAGGTGGCCGTACACAGCTGTCGCCACAGAATGAAGAGCATCTTGATCAGCACATTCATGCAAATCAGTGGATAACTACTAGGGAACTGTGTATGGAGCTGAATATTGCACCAGGGGGGTCCCACTCATGTTCACACAGGAACGGAGAGAATACCGTATGTAAGTTTGTCAGGACCTATTGAACCAATACCGTGTGATCCAGGAAACTGTCACCTTCAGTCTTGTTTCTGAGATGAGATGTGATGTCACCCCTATAAGCCAGAGTCAAAATAGTAGTCTATGGAGTGATGACGTGAATTCCCAATGAAAGAAAATGTTCAAGATAGAGAAGCGAAAGTGATCTGCATTGTGTTTTGAGTTAGAAAAGGGTGATCCTTCTGTATTTCCTGGACAACCACTACTTTGCAGTGCTGACTGATCTGAAGGTTCAAACTACTGGAGTCAGGCAGAGGAGGTGACTACCTTTCTCATGCAACACAGTAATGCTAAGCCCCATACCAGTTTGAAGATCATGGAGCATGTTGCCAATCTTAGGTGGACTGTCCTACCACACTCACCATATTGTTCAGATTTGGCACGTTCTGGCTTTCATCTGTTTGGCCAATGAAAGATGAACTGTGTGGGCAGT